AAAAAAAAAAGAACTCGTAGCAAAGCTAGAATACCTAGCAAGATAGCCAAAGCCTTTCAGTCAATGCTTGACTCCAAGTCTCAGTGAATGAAGAGCTAAACGGTAACCGGCTACCCTACCAACTGTTCTGGAAAGATATTAAAAATCCTAGGCAAAGTAGGAGGAAAATGTGGGACAAAATTCAACAGCAAACCAAAAAGACAAGGCTTACTCTCCTGATAGAGACTGGGGGGACCCCTTAGACAATGGTCGTTATCCATAATTTACACACAAGACGAGATCCCTCTGATAGCAGCAACGACAGGCCTTGTTCCACGCTCTCTTCCAAACCTGGCGGGAATCTCTGGCAGTTCCATGTCAATATGCTGCGGCAACCATTTTTAAATGATCTTCAACAAAATTGTGTTTGTGTGTGTTATCTATGACATCGGTTGATAATTTCTACACTTCGATGGATCCCCTTTCTTTGGGGTAGGCATAAACCGGGTTCTCTGCCACTTGGTTGGCCAGGCTCTCCCAATTTCTTGGCATTGACAAGTGAGCGCCTTCATTGCTGCATCCATTTGTTCAAACATTTAAACAGATTTAAACAGTTCAAAATAAAGCAAGTCACACAATTTTTGTTGTTGTTCTCAGTGTGTATGAAGCTATGTTTGTTGTTGCTGCTGCTGTTGTTGTTGCCAGGTGCCATTGAGCAGGTTCTGACTCTTACCAACTCCATGCACAACAACACACTGCCCGGTCCTGCACTGTGCTGCCAACTGTTGTTATGCTTGGGGCCATTGTGCCACTGAATCAATCCATCTCCTTGAGGTTTTCCTCTTTTTCATGAACTTACTCCTTTACCAAACATGATGTCCCTTTTCAGGAACTGCTATCTCCTGATGACGTGTCCAAAGCATGTGAGACAAGAGTCTTGCCAACCTTGCTTCAAAGGAGCATTCTGGTTGTACTCCTTCTAAAGCAAAGCTGTTTGTTCTTTTGGCAATTCACAGTACTTTCAATATTCTTTGCCAGCACTGTAATTCACATGCATCCATTATGGTCTTCCTTATATGTACCCAGAAGACATGTCTACACATATATTTATATGTACTACAGTGAACCCTCGTTTATCGCGGTTAATCGGTTCTAGACCCTACCGTGATAAATGAAATTCCGCGCAGTAGGATTCCTTATTTGTAAATCAAATATTTTCGTAGTTAGAGCATAGAGGACATGAAAAAACACCCTTTAGTCACCATTACACTCGTATTACCCAATTTATTAAACGAAAAAGGGAAAATACAGTAAAACATTTTGGACGTTACAATTATCATTTATTATTTATTATATTATTTATGACATCAAGCGTGTACAGTATGAGCCAATCAGTGGCAGTAATGACAGAGCATGCGCTGTTACGCAAAAACCGCGATAGAGTGAAGCCGTGGAAGTCGAAGCGCGAAGTGGCGAGGGTTCACTGTACACTTATAACCATGAAAATATTAGAGCATATGTGGGCAAAGTTATGAAACCTTCTTAGACATAACCCAACACTTTGAAGGAATCAGTTACTAGATTTGGGGGCAAAGGACCATAACACAGTCTACAGATAATATTTTATATTCTACTTTAATGAGTAGTGACTAGAATCTTTTAAAATGTGTGAGCAGCCAACTAAGATACAATTGTTGGTCTCTCCTTCTATGGAGCAAAGAAAAGTAAAAAAGTTAAGACCAAAGAAAACAATTATTATGATAAGCATTGTACAAGCTCCCAATAAAATGATTTTTTTTAAAAAAGAAAGAAAACAATTAGTTCAAAGAGCCAGCCTCACGATCCTGAGGCTGGCTACCACTGCTGATGCCTCTAAAGGGATCACAAAGGGAGTTCCCGAACAGAGTGGGAGAAAAATAAGGAATGAAATTCAAAATCATAAAATACCAAGCTTACTACTCTGATAAGAGATAGGTAGAATCCCAAGCCTGAAACTGAACTTGTGGCTCAACCTTCAAATAAACCAGAGACATGCCTATTAATGTGAATAATACTATAGGGTGGAGGGTGGGGAGATAGGCACTCATGGAATAGTTAAGCATCCAGATCAAAAGGGCAGCATTTGCCCAGAGATGAAGCTCAAGAGCCCGAAGGGAGAGAAAGGAAAGATTAATAAAAACAGGAAAGACAGGAAGGAAGGGGGAGAGTGCGGTTACATTGGAGGGGTTGCAATCCATGTCACAAACTGTGTACGAACTGCTGAACTGAAGATCAAATTGTTCTGTGTGTATCTACACACGTCAGAAGTATTGCTTTAGGGTTCTAGTTCCTAATGGTTTATTTTGTTAAAAAATGTGTTTACTGAGGCAAAACAATAAGGGGGTGCAACAGAACAGCAAGGGAACAGAACGGCAAGGTCCCCAGGGAATGCTGAAGGTGGACTTTGGGGCCAGGGCGTGGTGCCCCAACAGACTGGTCTGGAAAACACTCCTAAAGGTCAACAAACAGACCTTGAA